ACGTCCTGATATGACATCATGATTTAATTTACGCTTGCAGTGATTGCTTGTACATAACTAACTGATACATTGTAGGAGATAAGAATCTTCGCGGTCGACCTTCGACGCACTATCAATGACCGACTCCAGATAGCATGGAACTTTACTGTATCTGCGAAGACGAATCAAAAGAACAGACCTACGGTCCTTACTCAATATGGGGCTCAAATCATGGCGTTTCAGAAAACCATATATGTTATTCTCCCTACGAGAGAAGAAAGCCGCGCCATAAATTACTTTTTGGCTGTACGAGACAGCGGCGACAGCGCATCTCTGCAGTTTGTGAACAGGAATTCTGACGTCATTCGAATGGTAACCAATGGCAACAAATTGAATAAAGACGACTTTCTGGAAGCTCCGATAGATGAACACGATCTCCGAGAAACGGGTATCGATAATGGCCTTTCCGAAAGAGACGCTCAGACGTTCTTCCGGGAGGATAGCCACACTGGTCACCGTCCTCAAAGGGCTTCAGCTGATATCGGAAGTCCTAACCTTAACGCCATCTGGTTGATAACAAGATCCGGCATTTTGGCAAGCATAGACCCAGCAAGTGGTGCCATGCAGCGGACAGTACCATTGAACTATCTGCTCAGAGTGGAAAGATTCAATATCACATCACAACTGATGCTTTACACCGATGACAACGGCAAGGACCCGACCTTACTATTCGCTGGTCTTGCACGCAAGGGACCCGCACCTTTTCTGATTCAGAACTGCGTGTTTGCCGTCGATGTCTCCAGCGTTGGATTGAAGTGGTCTGTCCCGGTGCCAGGTAATGGAACGGTTCAAGGACAGATTATTGGAATTCCTAGTGACAGTGACCCGTCTGTTCAACCAGATCAGCTCGCAGCTTTGTCCATTACAGCAAAGGGACAAGTGCTATTTGCCATTGGCAGTGCTTCTCGACAAAAATAAGTTCAATGTAACAGATAATTAACTTGTATTTGTAATCTCTACAGTACAAGCTGCGCAGTACTGTGGCCAGTAGGGTTAAAAATAATGGGTTGCTCTTGAATGATTATTATTAATTACCGGTACATATTTATTCTTATAAGTCTGACCAGGGAATTATATTTAATATAATTCCCTGGTCTGGCGCAACAATAAACAATAAAATGTGCAATTCTTGATAGGGCTTCTTTGTTTCAATTCCATGAAAATGAGAGTATTATTTCACATAATTATACGATTTGCTTTCCGTGCCCAAATCACATAAAATTGGTTACTATTGCATACGATTTGCCAGATGGAGACATATAGCACTGCATTGACGGAACGATTGAGCGACAGTTGTCTATAGTCGTATCGCTGGAGGGGGGGGGCATGTGAATATCCCGGTGTTTATCGGTGATAGGTGGTTCAAGTCTTCCCGTTATCATCACGCTTATTTCACTAAAGCGGCTGGGTCACTAATTTAAGCACTGCAGATTCACCTTTCAAATTGTTACGCACCTACAGTGAATGAAAGCAAGCAGCAAGATGATCGAGAAGTGGTAAAAGTTCTTGGTTCGTGAGTTTATACCTATTCTTTTTTTATTTGCAAATGTTCTTTTCAATTCGATGTTCATAGTGTTTTGGCTGGCTCAACCCATGGATTAACGTAAGACTTTCAACTTCCAAATAATTTAAGACATATAAAGCATTTATTAAGAAAGCTTTTAGTGTGTTGAAAAATTGAGATAAGAAAGTGTTTATTTCGTATTGCCAAATGCTAATTTTCATTTTATCCCGTTCGGGAAATTTCCAGATACTTCGTCTGTACGCGGTTGACTTAAGAGACATCATGGTCCAAATCATCAAAGTCGTTTGGATTTATAATTTCACCAGCGAGGTGGAGACCCCCAGATCCTTTCTGGGTGACATAGGAGGATACCTACCGAATGATGACCCAAGCGGCCCTCGCCTGATGGTGTATCGCCATTACGTCTACTTGGTTATCCCAGCAGAGACGAACGACGTGGCCTCCAGTGGGACAAACGGCGTAAAGAACCGACTGCTGGTTTTCCATGATAACGGAACAAGTGGGACGCTAAAGTACACTCAAGATCTTGACGTCGTAAGAATGGCGGCGGAAGAGAGTCTCAACACTGCCGTTCCGAAGCCGCATCATCCGCCACAAAACCAAGGGCAACGGAGCCAAATTAATAGAGCCTCGGATAATTTACGAGCTATTTTTGGACAGGAAGTTTATGACATTCCTGAAAGGTTCATGGGTTTGGCCAAACCTGTCGCCCGAGGCCCGGTACGTCTACGGCGAGATTCTACGCTGCGATTCCACCCTTCTGCTCATCAACAGCGTATCAAAGAATCAAATCCAGAAGTTCAAGCCATTTGGCTTGCCACTCGATCTGGCGGCCTCTACCGCATGAAGTACGACGACGGTGATATACTGACCACTCTCCAGTTGTCAAAGGCATTAAACGTCTCTTCGTTTAACATGACGTCAGAACTGATGATCATTTCGTCACAAGATGGCAATGCACAGGGTCCAGTACTCGTATTTGCCGGCATCGCAGAAACCGCTACGTCAGCAGCAAAGAATGGTGACGTCCCGTCTATGTCAATATTTTACAACTACATGTACGTCGTGGATATCAAAGGTTCTGTCAAACTGGCTTTGCCTGTACCAATGAACGGGACGGTCCAGGGGCAAATTATGGGCATACCGACCGACGATGACCCCTCCCGACAGTCGGATCTTCTTGTGGCGTATTCCCGTGTCAGCGAAGGCAATCAGTTGTTTGCATATGGATATCACAAAACAAAATGACGTTTTTTTGCATCTTAAAGGGATAATAACTCTTCGTTTCGGCCAAAAAATGAATTTTCCTGGAGTAAACAACAATTTTTCCATACTTACCAATGGTTAATGAATCCATTTTTACATTCAAAGTAAGTCCCTGGTTTTTTTCTAAAAAGTTTGGTTTTTTGTTAAAATCTCTTAAGACATTTTAACAGAGTATAGCCATCAATGGAGGTCACGTTGTCTAAAGACAAGCTCAGATGTCAGAATAATAGCTATAACTGCCGTTTTTGTAGTAAAACAGAATTTATTATATTTCTATGAGTTGTTCACAATGTTTTTATTGTGAAATATAGATCACATACGAAGAGTTATTATCCCTTTAAATAGTTATTTCATAAGTGAGTTCTGCCACAAAAATCAGGCGAATTATATTACAAAAATCAAGTATGTCTGCAAAAGATAGTTGAAAATATTTCAACCAGCAGCAGTTCCTCTTTGACTGCGGTTGTATGGCTTTCCTATTGGAAATTTACACATATTTTTGCATGCATTGTTTATGAAACCGTAATGCATTCCTACTTTGATAAACTGTAAAATTACCTTTTTTCACTTTTGCCTAACATTTTCAGATGTGCAACAGAAAAATAAGGGTGAATGAAATAAACTAATTTTTGAAAAATAAATGCTAGAGAATTTTTTCAAAAAAATATATTATCAAATAAATTTGATCTTGAATCGCACAATGGACGCCATGACACTACTTCGTTGCACGGTGAACACTTGTGCAGTTCTAATGAAAATTGAATCATCTCCAGCCTCGCACGGACTGGGTATGATAAACGTCATCACAAAACGATCACATCAACCAAGTGCACAATGCTCAGTTGGATACCCGTGCGTGAATGACGACTTAAAAACCAAATCACAGAAACTGCCAAATTTTAAAGTTATCGTGTCATGACGAATTTCTTGGGCTTTCGGTCAGATTCTAAAATTTGTCCAAACGCAGCCCAGGCCTGCGATATGTCATCAAACAGAGATAAGCCACTTGTCCCAGACAGCCTGTACCCTGGAGACCCTGAATGGGGGCCCGGTGCAGCGTAACCTCGCGCTACCGCCACACAAGGTGCTCTGTGTCGTCCCTATCTTGCCACGCATAAGTGTAGAGAGTGTTTAAGGTCACAAGGAACTTGACGTACTCCTTTTTTCTGATTGGGCGCTCACTGTGCCACGGTGCCTCAGCGGAGAGATTTCTGCTTCTACCATCTGAGTAAGTGCCCCCAAATCGAGGAACGGCCCATGGTTTTTTAGCTGAGACACGTCTTTCGTTACTGCCAACTTTAAATAGCGCTCGACGCTGCGGGTTTTCACTAAAAAAGACGTTTTTACTGCATACTCTCGGGTGATTTTGACATTTTGTTTTCTTACAGAGAGTGATAACCGTTCAACTTTTGTCTTGTCTCTCACCTGTTAGTTTTCGTTACCAACGATGGCATCTTTGAAGATTCTTCTTGTATGGGCAAGTACCTTGATGCTCGGAGTGTATGGACAAACAGCTACCCCAGGTAATGCTATTTTTTTTGTTTTATATCCAAATGAATTTTAATTTTATTCTTAGTTTGATTCTTTTTCTTTATTTCACATTTTATTATACGTTTTCACAAGGATTGTGACTATTTTTTTATTTGTTTTACTTGAATTTGTTCAGACCCTCTGATCAAAGCATAGGCTTTTGAAAATGCAAATCCTGTCCGTAACTGTTTTACCAGTATATACAACATAAAATTATTTTAAAGCTCGTCTTGTAAGAGAGGAAAAGACTTGCTTTACCAATGAATTATACCTCAGTGATACGACTTGTAAAATCGCTGTATGATACACCCCATTTATCCCTTATAAGCACAAAAGTAAACTGTTGTTCAAAACGACAGATAAAAAAATTAAAGATTCACACTTTTATTGCAATTCAAATATGCTCCACTGAGGGCAAATTTCTCACTAATTTCGGTATCATTTCTTCTTCTGAAGTTTCTGTTACATCGGGCTTTCACTTCCGCATGAAAAACGAATGTTGGTCTACTACAACAAATATCAGTATTTTAAGTTCAATAACTTTGATGTATGAGTTTGATGGTGACTTTGACCCATTCCCATACGTGGCTTAGATATCTGGCACGCCTACGATAGTAAATAACTCCCTAACAGCTTCCGAAGGCTTGCCAGACATCAGAGCCGCTTACGCTGAAAGCACCTCAGCGAGAAACCCCTCGGAGATGGGTCAACCCTGCTTGATTGATCTGAAGTTTAAGATATGAGAACGGACTCTTTGAAATATCGTCAAAGACCCAACTTTAAAGGGTGGTGAAAGTGGCCAAAAAGATGTCCTCCAAGCAGATGAAAAGGGACACAGTGACTCAAGTTAGATGATGATAACGACGATGCACACATACATAGGTTAACACATCACAGAAGTTTCTTAAGGTTACACAAGCTAATTAAATAGTGCTATCGTAAAGTAATACATGTCACGTATCAACGCAGCGATGTATTTTCAACCATCATCTTCCACAACGGCGGCCACTTGGGATTAGGGCACGGCATAAGGAATTACATAAACTAGTGTGAAAAATTTATAAGTCCTTAGAATGTATCTGTTTTTTAAAAAAACTTTTGTAATAAACAACATTAATGTGAAAGTGTAGAAGACAGTTTCCATTGTGGATAAAAAGGAGTAATATAAGTAAAAAAGAATAAAGTCCAGGTTGTCCTTTCTTAGTTAACAAGCAAGCTGTAGGAGGTTTTAGGTTTTGCCATCAAATATGGGCCGTGGGCCGCATACCATTTCGAATCAGCATGAAGACGCTCTCAATCTGCTTACAAATAAACCAAAACCAAAAGAGATTGCACATCCTCAGATTGGGTGAACGTTATCTGTCCCGAATCCCAACAATATTAAATTCTTGCCAGCACTCGATATTTTTATCAGTGTCTTAGGGTGCGTTCACAATGAAACTATCGTTTTAGATAGATCGACCCAACTGCACGAGGACTCTCGCCGAAGAGTGAATGACACGCCTCTTCGTGCAGCTGGGGGGAGGGGGGGAGAGAGAGAGGGTGCCTAATTTTTGTGTGCGTTCGGCTAATGGAAGCTTCTTCACTTCGTTTGGAGTGCGATCGAGTTGGATAGTTTACCTTGTACACTGTCCGATAGTTTCTTTGGGAACGTGGCCTTAACGTGAAGGTCAATACGGTCCGTAATCTGTTACTATAAAAGCGTGTACATCGTGGTATTATTAGAATCAAGATCAATATTGGTTTAGTTAAAGTGCAAACACCAGTGATATTGATGACATTAATATTTTGGCACGTCAAAGGAGACAGAGAAAGAGTGAGCGTTTGGCCCCTGTTTCCCACCGGTATATTGTTTAGTGTTAAGATGGGGCTTTATTCCTTCCTATTCATATTTTTCGTTTTCCTGTATCAGTAAGATTTGAAAACTTTCATGCTGAAAACTTTTATTTAGCCAGCCGCGTATACTTGCTGTTGCTGCATTTCTAGACAACATATGCGCACCAGCGTACATGTAGATGCTCGATTGTAAAGGCGGCAAAAGGAATGTTCTTAAACGGTGGACCACATAATGTCAACTTTTGTTTCTCAGTGTCAGTTGTGCAGACAGTCGATGACAAAGAGTTGGCAAAACTAAAAAACTTGGTTTTGTTGCCTTGATGTAAACCTTTAAAGATGGGCCTCATTTTAGAGGATGGTGAATTTTACGCTTCAAGCCCACTCCGAAGACATCTGGGTCACGTAAAAGTTTAAATCAACCCGTGTTGTAGAAACTTTCTTTAATATGACTTTGTCATATACTGAGGTTTAGTTTGGCTTCACATTTGACTTTAAAGAGCACAATGTGATAAAGGTATGCCACACCTACCCTCTATCAGGGCCACTGATTAATTTTTCTAGAGCTAGATATTAACAGATATGTCTCAAGTTAAATAGATGGCTAATCTCTGTAGCCTCAGCAAAAATGTCCACAGAATAATAACTGCGGCCCTGATAGAGGGTAGGCCAAACCGGGACGGTTTTAGCTTAAGCAAGCCTCTAAGAAGAGGTGATCATTAAAAACAAACCGTTCTAATGTGTAAAAGCTGGTGCGGTTCCCAATCTAGCAATCACTGACCTACACAAAATGTGACTTAAATTTGGTGCAATACAGTTAAGTACAGTAAAAGCTGACTTAAGGCGTTTTGGATTCCATTTATAACCAAAACTGAACTCCTTCTGTTGAATTGCGTGGCCCAAAACTGGCAAGAGGGCTTCTGTTTTTCACTTTAATTGTTTTCATTTCATGTTTCAACAGCGTGTTTGATATCGACCCCGTCGCAATACGAGTACAAATTTGTTCGGGACGTTTCACGTGAAACCAATGCCACATTTGAGGTGAAGGCGGCAGAAAATGCTCACATCATCCTGGCACCTGATTTGGCTTTGCAGACAGATACAAGCGGAAGGGTAGGTTATATTTCCCAGTGAGTTCTCAAAAGTATCTCTATTTGTTTATAAATTTAAAAACCAAGGTCCGTTTCCGGTACAACTAAGCACATTGCCACGAAGATTGCTTGTAATATATATTATCATTTTTATGTACAGACACAGATGTGTCTGTACATATAGCCGTCATCTGCGTCTGTCGTCGCCGTCGTCGCCGTCGTCGCCGTGCACTTTTACCGATAACACGATAAGTGGAAAACTGTTTTTTCTTTTGGCTTGAAACTTACAGAACTGATGAATATTCATAATACGCAGGTCAAGTTCGAAAATCAGCATGATCGGGTCACTTATAGGGAATTTATGCTGTTTTTTCACTTTTTTCAGCATATATGCAGCACCGATAACACGATAAGTGGAAAACCGTTTTACCTTTTGGCTTGAAACTTACAGAACTGATGAATATTTATAATACGCAGGTCAAGTTCGAAAAAAAGCACGATCGATAAGTGGAAGGCAGTTTTACTTTTTGGCTGTATATTTACAGAGCTGATGAATATTCATAAAACGAAGGTCAAGTTCGAAAATCAGCATGATCGGGCCATTATTGTAGAAGTTATGCTGTTTTTTCACTTTTCAGCATATATGCAACACTGTAAACACATTTCAAGGAAAACTGATAGGCCTGTTGTCATGAAACTCACAGGAGTAATCAATCTTACTAAAACGCAGGTCAAGTTTGAAAATAGGCATGTTCGGGCCACTATTTTAGTAGTTATGCTTTTTTTTCACTTTTCAGCATATATGCAACACTGTAAACACAATATAAGAAAAACAGATAGGCCAATTGTCATTAAACTCACAGGAGTGGTCATTCCTGCTAAAACACAGGTTGAGTTTAAAAATCAGCATAATCGGGCCATTTTTTTAAAGAAATGCCGTTTTTTCACATTTCCTCAGATTCAATTCTTAGGCATGTTAACAGTTTCATAATTTAATTAACAAGATACATAAAAGTGTTTGTTTGGCATTTCCTGCATCTTTACAACATTGTTAGTTGATTATGTAAAAATGATGGTAAACTTGTTATCGTGTATTGTGTAATTAAGTTTCAAAAATGGAAATAAACTCATATCATTGCAGTTTGACAGATTCAATCATTCACTATGTTCAGAATCTCAGAATGGAAGAAATTGGACATTTAACACTGCTCTATTGATGTTATTCCCATCTCATCAATTTTCCTAATTGATCATATAAAACAGCAGTAAACTATTAATTTTGTTTTATGTTAAAAATTGTTAAAAATGGGGAAAAAAACATTTCAGAACAGTACTGTCTTGTTTACATTTTGGCATTTTCAAGTTGTGACTTTGAAGTTCCATGGGCCTGAAGACCTTTGCTTGTCACATTTTCTGAATATCCATAATACTAATATTTTATTATTAAAATTGATGGTCATTATGCTGTTAAACATTATGTAATATTGCATCAAAATTTGAAAAAAAAAAGCTATTTTGGGCACTGCTCCTTGATGACCATTTAAGAAAAAACATTCCACTTACTGTCCTCAAACTTACAGGAAAGAAACATGGGATTAAAATACAGCTTCAGTAGGCAATGCAGCCTGTTTGGCAATTCTTACTGCCAGTTAAACAGTTTTTTTGTGAAAATTTAATTTTTCACATATTGGCATTTTCAAGGTGTGACCTTGAAGTTCCACAGGCTTGAAGACCCATGCTAGTCACATTTTCTGAAAATCCAAGATACGTATATTTTATTATTAAAAATTGACGGTCATTATGCTGTTAACCATTATGTAATATGGCATCAGAATAGAAGAAAACACAATTTTGGGTGCTGCTGCCATGATGACCATTATGGGAAAACCATGTTACTTATGATTGCCAAACTTTCAAAAAAGAAATACAGGACTAAAATGCAGCTGGAGTTGGAAAAGCAGTCTAATTGGCTTCCTTTTTCTGGAAGTTATACATTTTCAAAGTGTGAACTTGTTACACATTTTACTTACATTGATATTACCTGTTGAGCATAATTAAAATTTGATGTTGAATTTGCAGTTTAACATAATGTACTTTTGCATCAGAATTGACAGTACCCTATTTTGTGCATAGTTATTTCCTGTTTTTTGTCTGTACATTTGACAGCTTTGCTGCCTTGTTATTTGCTGCCTTTACAAACCTTTGTTTCCTTGGGTTTTGTCACTACCAGATTAAAACACAATTACCCAACGAACTAGTTGTGGTAATTCTGGTTTCTTCGTGGTTTGTTTTGCAGACCGGGGCGCCTGGCTTTGAGATTGTCATTGGCGACAACAAGAACTCAGAATCATGTATTCGCAATGGAACCCAAGGCCCCTGCCTAGTGACTGTGAAGACCCCGAACATTCTTGACGGGAATGGCAAGCTTTCCTTTTGGGTATCGTGGGCAAAAGGTTAGCAAAGAGTCCCAGCAACAAGTCCTTCTTCTTTAATGGAAAATCGACACAGTTATTAACGACAAAAATATCCAATTTGAAAGTCTGTCAATCTAATGTGGCTAGTTCTATGTCACAGGGCAAAAATTACAGGCGTCAATGTAACTAAACCATTTAAGTGAAGTTTGTAACTTTTCTGTTTAGGAGTTATAAAAGTTGGGCGTGGCAAAGTTGTGGGCGTCGACACCTTCATGCAGTGGAAGTCCCCCGGCTCAGTCGACGTGCGTAAGATGTTTGTGGCAACCGGTTTTGGAGCCAAAGGCGAATGGCAGTTTCCAGTTTGCGACAAAGGTAACTAGAGAGAACTGCAACAATATTTGATCATTTGTATGTAATTGTTGTCTACGCAAATGATACAATGTTAAGAAGGTGATTTCGATTTTTAGGTGAGATGATATAATAAAAATCATTATTTACTAAGGGACTAAATATTATAATGTTATGCTGCAATTGTTCTTGTTTCACAATAAGTATACATTTTGGCAAAGCAGTGACTGCTGAAATTGAATAACCGGTAACATTAAAGGGATAACAACTCTTCGTTTAGGCCAAAAAATGAATTTTCCTGGAATAAACAACAATTTTCCATACTTACCAATGGTTAATGAATCCATTTTTACATTCAAAGTTAGTCCCTGGTTTTTTTCTAAAAAGTTTAGTTTTTTGTTAAAATCTCTGAAGAGATTTTAACAGAGTATAGCTATCAATGGAGGTCACGTGGTCCAAAGACAAGCTCAGATATCAGAATAATAGCTATAACTGCCGTTTTTGTGGTAAAACAGAATATATTATATTTCTATGAGTTATTCACAATGTTTTTATTGTGGAATATAGATCTCATACGAAGAGTTATTATCCCTTTAAGTGGACATTGAGATTAAGTTCGAAAAGCATTCTACTGGCTTGTGGTCCTTTTAAGCAAAAATACATGTAGTTAAATATATGTTTATATGCTTGGCTCTACTAAATTGACAATAGACATAGTCTGGTGACATATCGTAGCCCAATAAAATCACGGTTTGCTTTTTGGTTTGATTGAAAAAAGTATTTAAGACTGCATTAGAAATGCAGTTTAGTTGGATACAATTCTAAGCAGTCAGTGCTTAGAACAAATGTGGAGTAGTCGATTTGTTAAACAGGGCGTTCAAGAATGCGAATGCGGCGATTGAAATAGTTGATTGTAGTATACTTTACAGATGGGTAAGTTTTTGTAAGGTTCTTCAACCAAGATCTGTAGTTGCACCGCCCCTTCGCGAGGTACCTGTTCACGATGAGGCATGCGACATTTTCCAAAGTAAAGTTATATGTCTATTGGTCCGAAAAACTCTACTGAAGGAGTTTTTGATAGTTCCATTTTACCATCTTTCTGTACCAGCTTTCGCCTTTAAACTGTGTTGCTAACTGGTAAAAGAAATTGTATTTGTTGTACATTAACGAGTCTTCTTTTACAGAGTGTGGCAAGGATGTCAATGCGGACGTTCTGTTCGTTATTGATGAATCGGGAAGCGTAGGGCGCGTCAATAATGAAAAATTGAAAAAGTTTTTAGCCGATTTGGTCCTTCAGCTACCCGTGGCGCAAGACAAGATCAGGGTTGGAGTTATCAGTTTTTCTACCCGTGTAAGACATCACTTTTCTTTGAACCAATTCGACAAACCACGTGACGTTGCAGACGCCATTATGAACATGAATTATTCTTCCGGTGGGACAAACACTGCGGACGCTTTGTGGTATGCTCAACGGGTAACGTATCAAGAATCCTTAACAACATTGCTTTGACGGATTTTGTTTATTCATTTCTCTATTTATTATTATTATTATTATTATTATTATTATTATTATTATTATTTCAGCCAAACTATGTAATAATTCAATTATGCTATTGACTCAGAAAGGTGTCTTATAAACAATATCTATAATTGAATAATGTCTATATGATAAATGTCTGTTATAGTTGACTAAAATACCGGAGTGTGTGTGTGCGTGTGAGTGTGCCACTCCAAGGTGAAATGAAAAAACAATTACTAACATGGCTCACTACAAAATTAATTGGAGAAACTAAAGTATATACCCTTTTTTCTTTACTAGACCTCTTTTTCCAAAGCTTCGGGGGACAGAAGCACAGCGCCTAATTTGTTGTTTCTGTTTACTGATGGGTACTCGGTGCAGAGCCCAGTATCTGCGGCAGGAAATGCCACCAAAGCTGGAATAGAGGTGCGTTTAAATTGCAAAGACGAATGCCCCCCCCCCCCCCCCCCCTCCAACGAATCTTTGCTTGCCTCGTCCCTACACTTGGATTCGATGTTTTATTTCAGTTATTTATTTAATGGTTTAGTTCCAAATGGCTGATCAGTCATTTAGAATACCATTTCGTCTTGTATATTTCAGAAGGTACCATCGACATCAGTAACTTTTCCTTTTTTATGAGGGGGGAATATAGTTTTTTAAGTCTAAATTGGGAGATTTAAGCAGCCTTGCGTGATATGTAGACATAGAAAAGATGCCTTTGGAAAATTGGCAAACGCGTACAGAGTACTAATAAATTTTGGCTCTCTTTTACGAAAATACACCCCATAACCTTTTAGTTTTACTTCTAGATATTCACAATAGGCATTGGAAGAGGCGTGTCGATTCCGGAAATTACGCAGATTGCCAGCGAGCCAAAGATCGATCACGTGTTTACAGTGGCGGGATTTGACGCCCTGACAACCATTAAGAACACACTGGGAGCAAAGTTTTGCGCTGTTAAAGGTGGGTCAACCGCGAATCAAAAACCTTGAAATCGTGCAAGAATACTATCTCCAGCTTTGCCATCCCTCTTTAAGACCACAGGTTGATTTTCGGTACAGGGGTCCAGCTAGGCGACTAGCATGGAATTGACGCCATCACTCAGTTTGTCTGATCTGGGAGATCTATAGTGTCGCTCCTTACTTTGCGATGAGTTCAAAAAAGACACTGAAAACACTCTCTCTCTCTCTCTCTCTCTCTCTCAGCATTGTTTGTTGTTTCCAGTAAACTGCAGAGGCGTGTTGGTACTAGGTAGTAGAGATGTAGAGTTCCAGTGTTTTCTGAAACTCGGGGTGGCCAGCTGAGACACGAGAACACAATAGTCACATTTGAAAAGACGACTCGCTTATTTATATGAAAAAATGGTTGTATTGTGCCTATATCGCAATGTTGTAGTATATTTTTGCAATGTGGTTTTGTTAATGTGTGTGCGTGCGTGACAGTAGTAGTTTTTAGTAGTGCTTTGTATCATTTATTTCTTGACTCCAGTAAATCTTTTTTTTTTTTTTTTTTTTGGCAAAAGAAAAAAAACTGTCGTAGGTGAGGCGTAAGCAATTCTGCAGCTCATTACGTGTTTTGCACTCTCTTCCTTAGACAACAGCTTCTGGAAGACAGGAGAGACCAAAAACGTGCTTAACATCATTCCTAAATCCAAAACTTGCAAGAGAGGCATACGGGCTTCCGTGGCCTTGGGGTCTCCCATGGGTAACGACGCCACCAGGACCATTGACGTCGACTTCCCGATGAATTTTACCGAAAAACCTTATGTACAGGTAATGTAGAGATCGCATTCAGTGCGAATGTTGATGCTGTGTTTTGTCAAAAACTGTTAGATAAAGAATGTGTCGTATATAAAATATAATATTATTAAACAAATGAAACACAGCCCTCAGTGAATTAGTCATGGGTACGTGCTCTATTTGATTTATTATCCCATCATCATTTGTTATTGTCCACCAAAGTATGAAGGAATGACAGCAATGATACAGGTAGTGTCAGCTAAATTTAGTCTCAGCTATGCTTACAGTAATTCTGCTAATCTCCTTAATATTTTAGTGAACCATGAAGTGAACCATGAGAAATTAATTTGAAATGTGACTCTGTAATGATATAATAATATAATGTAGGTTACTTCTTGGTATAGACGTCGTTGATATTATTGACTTACCAAAATTTTCATGGGAAGTACTCAGTAAATCTGCTTGAAATTAACTTTTTTAGTAAAACGAGGTCTTGCAAAAGTGAATTGTAATAGTGTTTAGAAGTAAAACCCAGGCAAAATTTACAGAATAGGGTAATAATGTTCCTGACCCTTCAGAGGTCTAGCATTCTACAAGCGGTATAATAAATTGACATGTACCAGTATGTAGACATTGCACAAAGAGCTTGGAATAGTTTAACAATTTATATATGTAAAAAGTACATGCACTAGTATGACTCGTGGTTGTGCTCCAGGCCCACGTCAAAGGACACCAAACATACGAGGACAAGTGGGAAACGAAAATTGTCGATGTTACGCCTACTGGCTTCAAGGTGGAGGTGAAGAGGGTATTTAAAAAGAATGTAAATTATCCTCCGAATCTCCCCAAGTCGAAATTGGACCCTCGCATGGAAACACCAACACTGGAATATGTGGCTTACTTAGGTTCGTCGTGTGTGTTTGTGTGTTTGGGCGCGTGTTTGTCGATCATTGCAACATAAATGATTGGCGTTTAATTGTGCTATTAATGTATCAATTGTTACCAGGAATTCGATAATGTTTGAGGATGTTTTGGGAGTTTAGTTCTTCATCTATAAGCTGCATCTTGTGCTGAAAAGATGTTTATTTAGCATTTTAAGAAATACAAAGTTACTATCTACCTATCTGTTCTATTCTATTCTTCACCCCTTTGGTTATTTATTTATTTACAACAATTACGCGTAGATATCATGTTCAAAGTACTTTTAGTGTAATAGTGGACCTTCATCACGTAATACGCAATTAAATGTTTTGTACAATGTAGCAACTTTGCTTAACTCAAGCATTACGGAGTGTTGCACGTTTTGCAAAAATTAGTCCAGTAATAATTTATCACCCTCTGTACCGCAGGCCCAGTGTGTTTCCAAACTGATGTTGTTAATGTCGGTCCTAGTTCAACCCCCACCAAGGTCATCAAGGTCACGTTTCCAAACGCATTCACTATCCCACCATTAGTGAATTTTAAGGTCAAAGGCCAGGAGAGAGGATTTCTGGAACAATATAAAGGTATAGTGAGTGATGTCGTACATTGCCGCGTGTGCTATCTAATGATGGCAATCAGTAGATCGTTTCTACGCAATATATTCAGAGATCGATGTAATCTTGATTCGGTTATAGGGCAGTTTTGATGAAACACGACAACTTCCTCTTGGTATGTATGTCAATGTATTGTACATTGCCCCCTACTACGAAATATGCCTTGAACGCCTCTCGCTGACTCTCGTTGAGTTCTGGCATATATCGTTCTTTTGACAGTGTACAATCTCACATTTAACACCTCACAAGCAAAAAAAAGTTTGGCGGATATCACATTTGCACGGAAAACGGCAGAGGGCGAAGAAGAAGTGGAATATTTCATCTAAGACAGATTAATTTTTTTACCAGTACGAGGGTACATCTATGCCATCTCGGATGCCTCATTGTAAAGAAGCTCAGTGATTTGAGGAGAGTAATTATGAGAATGGAGATGTTCCATTATTATTATTAAATATTACAGGTTTGCATTGCCACGCTTTCAGATATACATGCTACTTTATAATACCATAGTAATACCTATCATTATGGTAAGGCAATTGCCCCTTCTCTCATATATTTTTGAAAAAATCTGTACAAAGTGTTATGTCCCTCGCTTTTCCTTCAGTTGACGACTGGATGAGTACCACAGGCTCAACAACTAATCCAAACGAATGTATATGTAGACCTTGATCAACTTCCAACCATTAATTTTTCAGTCTACGTCCTTTATGATAGAATCTGTGGGCAGTATTGCCACTTAAAACACCTTACTGGCACTTACATGATTAACAGAGGGTACGTTTTCCGTTGTGTAGATCTGGGAAAGAAATATGGAATTATGTTTTTTTTTTCTATAGGTAAAATAATTAAAGTTACGAAGACTGGTTTTGAAATTGAGGTCACCAAATCTGACAACAAACCATGGACCCAAGAAACGGTTGACCTAATTTGGGAGGCAGAACTCGGTAAGGCGTCTAAACGGCAATCGATCCCATTCATCCCATTTCATGATTATCTACACGATAAGGTTTCAATTCACAGAAGGAAGTGCAACGTTACCTGGTGTTACTACGTCACATTTATTTTTAACTAATACATACATTTCTTATCTTCCCACATTACCAAAACCATTATAAAAAAAACTTTCATTAAGAAGTACGAAGTTTTTTAATCCTTTTGCACAAACAAAAACTATATACAAGGCATATTGGGATGCATTGTATACAGCACAGAGATGCAGCGGAGTACATTATTTTAGATGCAAACTTTAAGGTTATTTAATCCTGTTCACATGTGCAATATGGCGTTCTTTCAGGTCCGTGTACTTGTAGAGCCGTTGGTGATCCCCATTTCCAAACCTGTGACGGGCAGCAGATCCATTTCCAGGTAAAAAAAGGGAAATTAAAATTGCTCGGTAGAGCAAGGACTTGTGAACTATAATGAATTAATCTAGCGTAAATAAAATAACATATCGTAAAAACAAAGGAACGATTTATAATGGCACTGAGTAGAATATAAAAACTCTGACAATACGAGTGCGTTGGAAAGAAGAGGCCTGTTAGTCTGTTCGACCGACTGCATACATTGAGAGTCCCAGTGTAGTAGGCTACGCATATTACCTAGTTCGACAAAATGCATTGTGAACGGTCATCTAATTAGGTACGGCGTCCGTTTATTATACTCACATTTCATGTTTCACCCCAGGGCACGTGCACTTACGTCATGGCTGCCGTGTGTAGCTGTAATAGAAACCTGCCGCGTTTTGAGGTACGGGTTAAACCAGAGAGCCGGCACGGGAGCACTATGTCATGGACTCGTTATGTTGAAGCAAGCCTCGGGCCGGTGGTAGTGAGGCTGGGGCCGGGAAAGAATGTCACGGTAATATTTTTTATTGTTATTTCGACAGTTATTATTTATGAAACCCTTATTTCCATGGTGATAGATTTCTTCAATAATGTAGACTGAATACAAGCAAATATGTTTAAACATATTTTTTTAAAATTTTGTTTCAAGATTAGCAATGCATGATGATAGTATGGTGTGCAGATAATTGTGCTAGTGATGGCATTATTGTTATATCTGTTTATCATTTTAATTTCATCCCCAAGGTCATAGAACTTAGTAAAGATCATTGTAAGTCAGTTAAAAATAGGAGGTAAACAGTGACAGACATTCTGTTGTCACAAACAGTTTGTTGATCAGTAGAAATCTTTATATTCAATTGGCCGTATGTGAACTAAATAATCTGATACTTCTTGTTTTTCGAACAGCGTTTAAGTTCCAGTATTTCGAAGGTCTGTTTGATTATTTTTTTAAGGTACAGAAGGCTCTAAGCGGCAGAAGCATCTTTAAGTATATGGACAATTGATTTTTTTTCATTCGTTCTCGATGTTTGGTGTGTTGCGCATCCCATGAAGGAACATTGCTTTCAACTGAATGAAAAGTACCAGAATAGTGGAGGAAAAAATCTCATTGTTAATTTAAAAACTGTATTTTTATATTAAAAAAAATTAAAAATAACATGTATTTACACTGACTCCACAGGTCAACGGCCTGGCGAAGAAGGTTCCATTTTCGGCTGCCAGCGTCCCGTACTATAACTTCACCGTAGACTGGAACAATGAATTAGCACTGGTGACAGATTTTGGGCTGAAGTTAACATTCAATTACAGAACAGCCGGATTTAACTTGGAAATACCGATGGAGTACAGTAACCAACTGTGTGGGATATGTGGTAATTTTGACGGCAACAAGGGGAACGATCTGAGGTAATTATTCAACATGATTAACACGCGCCCTCTTGTTTCCAGCAAACTCGTAGAATCACCAGCCTTTTTTGTATTCAATTCCACGGCCGGAGAAGGCGTGTTAATCTGTTGTATCGTGTTATCCCTGCGGAGCTAGATCGGTGTACGTAGACCGACCCTCAATCACCTATACTATTTGAGTATGACTTATTGAACGTTTTTGATTAAATTCTGTCAAAGACGAAGGTAATATTTCTGTGTTGAAAAGATTCAAGGAATATCTCTCCTTCATAAGAACTCTTAAAGGGATAATAACTCTTCGTATCAGATCTATATTTCACAATAAAAACATTGTGAACAACTCATAGAAATATAATATATTCTGTTTTCCCACAAAAAAAGCAGTTATAGTTATTATTCTGATATCTGAGCTTGTCTTCAGACCACGTGACCTCCACTGATGGCTATACTCTGATACAATCTCTTAAGAGATTTTAACAAAAAAAAAACAGACTTTTTAGAAAAAAAACAGGGACTAACTTTGAATGTAAAAATAGATTCATTAACCATTGGTAAGTATGGGAAAATTGTTGTTTACTCCAGGAAAATTCATTTTTTGGCCAAAACAAAGAGTTATTATCCCTTTAACATTTCTTATCATATGTAAAAACCATGGTAAATGTTTCAGTTTTGATGAAGGGATTTTTACCTTTTATCTTAGTTGAAACACAAGAGAAAACACTTTGGTCTTATAGTCCAAAATTTGGATACTACATAAAATGATTTAAATTGTTTTGGGAAAATCAGCACTTTCTTTTATTAACACAGAAATATAAATTACAATTTTTTTGTAATATTATTGTAATAATCAGTCTATCAAACATTCTCAAATAAAATCAGTATTAAATTTCAGAATGAAAAACGGCCAGGTTATTGAGACGCTGTCAGTTTCGACGCAAGATAAATACGACATGGTCGGCAACAGCTGGGAGACGTATGATCAGTCAGGGGATCCAAGGTGAGTAGAATGTTACCGGTGGTTGTCACGGGCGCATTTCTACTGATGATGCGACCGCGAAACTTATGGCATGTCCGTGGCATTGTCGTTTTTACTACGATTTCTAGCCATTTTGATAGACATTGTATGTGTAAGCTTTTGTACTTGAAAGTTACAAATTAAACCCTTGAGGATAAAAAGGGAAATGATGGACAGACAGAAATCTTCTGGCTTATTGAAACTTTCAGGTGCAACAAGGTGAGCAGTCAGAGACCTGCTTTGATATGTCAGCCACCACCGATAATCACTACAACTACAACAACAACCCCCACCCCCACACCCACAATCACAACTACAACTCCCACAATCACAACCACAACTACAACTCCCACAATCACAACCACAACTACAACTCCCACAATCACAACTACAACTTCAACTACAACTACAACTACGACTCCCACGCCTGAAACTACAACTACAACCACAACTACGACTACCACCCTTTCTCCCCCTACATACTGCTCAAACTCTAAGTATTACGCCACTATCAAAGACATTTGCGGCTTCACGGATACGACAACCAAGTGGAAAACGCTGGAGAAATGCGTGTCATATGGTAACAAAATAGACATCAGCCTGTATAAGGTGTCGTGCGAGTCTGACGCATGCGCAGCTATGCCGGATACAACGACAGCCAAGGAGTACGCGTGTGATATTCTCGAGTTCCTTGCGCAGGAGTGTGAGAACAAGGTTGGAATACCTGTATTCTCGTATGGATGGAGGAACGAAACAAACTGCCGTAATTATTTTTTTCTAAATTTGTAATTAAAACAGATACAGATAGTTAAATGTAATCAAATTCAAAGTTAAATTGATTTTACATGGGTTATCACAGATTGGTATCCTATACAAGTAGATATTTCACAGACACCTTAAAAATGCATTTAATTATGTATTTTTTATTGGAAAACTGGGGCACAAAATTGATCTCCAAAACAGTAACATAAAGTAAAAAGTTCTGTGTTTGGCGTAAATATATAAATATATATCTAACATGTGATATGTTTGGAATGTTTGCCCCTCCACAGCGAAAAAATGTGACTCCGACAAAGAATATCAGACTAACGTCACTGAGTGTCAACCGGCGTGTCCCGGAGCCCCTCAGAACTGCGACGACCCGACTAAAATGGTGCCAGAATCTTGTGTGTGTAAACCGGGCACAATTCTGGACGGCACTGATTGCATTCAGCCAGCTAACTGTGTGCCTAAATGCTGGGATAACGGGAATACGTATCAGGTAGGTTCCCTTATGTTGGATGAATTGGATTAAACTTCCTACGAAAATAATACGATTTTCCAGTTAATAGCAGTGTAACATTTGCTACAAATTCAAAGTAATATGATGTTTGCAGTGGTGGACCTCTTGGTTAAATAGTCCTTGTGAGATAGCCAGTGCTAACTGAAATCCGCGGCACAATTGGCTTGCGCTCCAGCGGTCTACTTAATGTCTTCTCTAGCTGTTACAGTAATTATTTGTATTTAATAAGACCCCAGATAGAGGGAACTGAGGTCCTTGGTACCCTCTGACACGATTCATGACTGTCGAACCCACTGTGCTCTTGGGGTATGATCATTTTAATCGATTTTTTTTTCTTTTTGTTTAGGATTATATGAAAACCAAATGGTTTGTAAAGGTGTCTTGGCCATTGGAAAGTCTTTGTTTACCAGTGACGCTTATTCCTAACATCCTTTCTTTTTCTTATATACAAGAGAAAGTACAAAAAAACTATTTCACCGAATGTAAAGTACATTCATTTATTCAAAGGTTGGGGACCAGCTTTTAATAGACAACTGCAAGACAGAGATAACCTGCAATCTGGTCAACGGGAAGGCTTCTCTCTCCAAGAAAGCCGTGTCTTGCTCACCACCGCCATCTGCCGAGTGTAAGACCGCCAATGGGACCAGACGGTGTGTGTGCTTGCCAGGTTATACCGGCGATGGATACAGCTGTTTACGTAAGCATCTTAATTTTTTTTTTAACTTTAATAGCTGGCTTTCTCGTAATTTGCTGTCTAGGTCAGTTCTGTATGTAAAGCGGCCCTAAACTGGCATATACCTGGGCTAGACCAAAACTGAAAGGCAGCAGTTACTTGCACTGAATCAGTCATGGTACATTTAGGCCCTATATTCCAAGTCAAGGCTGTATACATGCAGAAATATATATGAGCATAGGCCCCCTGTTGTATAGCTTTTAATTTTTCTTGAATAGCTTTATTTTAATTAATAGAAACATCACCAATTTATTTAATTGTACTTTTTCCTGTTCCGATACAATAATTTTCGTTTTATTCCGGCCAATGTCAATGTTACGTTGTCCGTAGATGTGGTGTAAACTTTTTCAAGTTCAATTGTCGCTCTTATTACTATTTTAGCCAAGAAAACTGACCCGTGCAAGTCGTATCCATGTCAGAACAACGGGACTTGTCGTCCCATGGGCGGGCCCGACTTTGCGTGTATTTGTGCTCCGGGTTCGTTGACATTTTTATTCATCCCACTAATGTCTCAACTAACACAGTTTTAACATTTGACGCGCAGTCACACTTAACACAATATCAAACACAATGCGCTTTCACATCTAACACAATGTTAAATACAATGCGCTATCTTACCTAACGCAATGTCAAATACAATTTTCTGTCATACATACAACTAACACAGTGTCACCCTAAGCACGATCGCTTTATATGACATTCGCTTATATAGTTTAATGTATTCTGATTGTAGACCTTCTTTAATGATGATCTGTAACAAATTGCATAACATCACACTTAACTAAACAGTTTCTCGACAAACAATAGAAAAGTAGGTTTTTTTATGTAGCTCGAGATTCTTTTGTTAATTTATTTTCGCGGAAGCCCTTGCGATAATTATGTGCGCATAACTATGATTAAAGATATATGTTGTATTTTCATGATTGTATTACTGTTTTGATTCATTAGTTTATTTATTTATTTGTTTATTTATTTTTCTGTTTTGTTATCAGGATACTCTGGTGAGTTCTGCCACAAGCGAAATCCGTGTGACACCAATCCCTGTAAAAATGGCGGCATTTGCAAAGAAGACGCCACCAAATCCAAGTAAGAACTTCCATTAGTTATAAACAGTATAGCCAGTTCGAAGTCGAAGAAAGTACAAGGTTAAATTTTTTTTTTTTTTTAAATTTATTTAGACTGAGTTATGCATTTAAAAACCAAATGTCATTTTAACATTAGCACGTGAAGCAGAATTTGGTACACAACATCTCATCTCCTCGAAAGATGTTAGAAAATACTTAGACAAAATATGGCTTATGTCGACCAATAGCTACGTCATTCTATATTAGACGCTATACAAAATCTTTCAGCTGAATTCAAATTTAGACAAATCTAGAACTCTCTGTCTTTGAACATTTTTATCTTATTTTATAGTCTAACGATCCTGTGGTCATGGTTTTATATGATTTTCATTGAAATTCCAGGGGATTTTCTTGTGAGTGTAACACGTACGGACCCTGGACCGGAGAACTCTGTGACGTAGACAGGTGCAACAGCATGGGATTCCCCTGCCAAAATGGAGGCTCTTGCATGTGGAACGGCAACGATGGATTTATTTGCAAATGCGGGCCAGGTATGTGGTTCTGAATACAACATATAAGAAATCTGATGTTTTTTGTGATATATTGATTAAATTCATATGCGTTACTGGCGACGCCATTTGAAATATTTTCCAATCCGAAAAGGCCCATAGTGGCTGATAGACTATTTCTGTTTGTCTTGTATGTGCCTTGTAATGTTATTGGCAGTGTTCTGAGATAACACCGAGGAGTTTGGCATTGACCTATTACATCAGTGCTGCCGGTCAAGTTGAACTATGTGGAACAGCTAAAACTAGTGCAATTAAATATGGACATGTAAAACATGAAACCTCCATATCAGTAGATTCGAGCGTGAAATTAACGATTTTCAATAGTGACGCATTTTGCAATAAAGAAATAATTAAATTAAACCATTCCTATAGAGATTGACGGTATTGGGGAGTATAATTGTGGTAGCTGAGATCCAACAGAATACGTACGATAACTGAAAAAAGACAAGCTTGGTTAATGGACTAAAACGAGTTTTTTATTCATATTTTGTATTTGAAGGTATGTAATTCTAGGGATTCAACTAACACTAATTGCCTACAGGCAAAATTTAAACGTTATTCACACTTTTTGGTCCTTAAACATTCTCTATAAAAAACATCATAGGGCGATGTGGAAGATACTTCTTATTTGAAGTTTCACTCTCGTTGAATAGTTTCTGGTCATAATTTTTATTATGATTATTATGATAGTTGGAAAGTTTGATTGCGTTAGTCATTGTCATTGTTCCTGATTTATTTATTTGTAGCGTTGCAGCTCATTCAGTTAAAATACTCACGCACAGGGTCGTCATTGTGTAATACTGTAACATCATAAACCTCCCCGTGTTCTTCAGGGTACCAAGGCAAGGACTGCGGCGTGGACATTAACGAGTGTGATAGCTGGCCTTGTTGGAACGGCGTCTGCGTCGACCTGGTCAACGGATACAAGTGCAACTGCGACCCTGGGTACACCGGCGTGAACTGTGACCAAGGTCCTTAGGGACCAGACCCTAACGTACTAGCCGTGGATCGATCTAACTCCTAAGGGATTCTCGCTAAATTGCAATCAACTTAAGCGGCTTAGATGTCTGTCACGCCTACTGAAGCTGCTAGAGGGTAATTAATTATCGTTTAGCAGCCTCAGTAGGCGTGCCAGACATCTTAGCCGCTTAAGCTGAAAGCAATTTAACGAGAGACCCCTCGGAGATAGATCGATCTTGGAACCTAGTCTTAGAGTTTAAGTGGCGGCTTTAAGACGCAACATTGAAATTATTCGTTATTTGCTCTCTCTTCGATAATCGACCTGTAGTATAGGGTAGATGATTCGTGATGTGCTTTTTAAAAATCGTTATATTTTTCCTCTACGTGTTGAAATTGATCTGCAGCAAAAAAAAAAAAAAAGTTTTTATAATGGAACAAATTTGGCTTTTTCTTTTCATTTTCTTGTTCATTTTTTTAGTCTTACTTGAAAACCCAATTCCGTAACAAACCAGGGGATTTACACTGACGTTTTTGCTATTTGCTTTGCTGGCTTTAGAATTAAGTTGTTATTTCAACAATTAACATCAGAACTGCGTTTCATGATTTAGAAATTTATCTGTGGAATTTATCTCGAAAAGTACACCAGAAAGTGTCCATTTGTTTGATTGTTTATACATTTTCACAAAAAGGACTGTTTTCAATATATTTGTTTTACATGGTTACACCAAATGCTATTGTTTTCAATGAAGTATCTTGCTAAACATAAACAAATCACCTATTGTATTTTGTTTAACATGGTTACACAATGAAGTATCTTGCTAAACATATTGTACTCAAGGAATACGCTTCGATTTTGCAATGAACTAAATAAACCAGTGCCCACGGAAACACTATTATTGGTGTTGATTTCATTTTTATTTCTATTCGAACTCCAGTGTCCTCTCTCTCTCTCTCTCTCTCACACACACACACACACACACACACACGTGTACACGTGCGCACCAGGCCCATAGCCAGCAATTACAAAAGGTAAAAGGGGGGTTCTTTTCAGAAAATGTGGATCTTTTTTTTTTTTTTCATGAAACCTTAGTTTACCTAGATCAAATTTACCCAGAGTAGACCTTTTCCCAGCAGAAAGCCCCCCCCCCCCCCCACACACACACACACACACTGGCTACGGGCCTGTGCGAACACGTGTGCCAACGTCGGGGCCCTCTATTACACCTCTTTGAGCACCACTAAGCACCTCGCGAACACAAGTATTGAATACCGACCAAACACAAACATTATGCCGTCGTTCACAAATATTGATTATTGTGATTCCTAATTTATCCAACCATTGTGTCACCCGCCTTAAGTAGACTTTTAACAGCACAACCGTGACATAAAACTCTGGACAATACATGCATCTGTTGTATAACATTTATTAGCATGGCCCGGAATGTGGACAATCGACTCCATTTTGTACCGCAAAGGCAATTTTTTTACTGAACTGGGGGCGTGAAAACCGCACAATACATGACCGTGTTTTCAGTGCATTTCTTTGCGGCCCGAACCATGGATCTTTACTCATGTTGATGAATGGACCAACAGCCCATTGACCTCGCTGAGTCTTTTTCTACTTGGAAAAGATGGGCCAATTCAATTAACCTAATCGCCGTCTTAATAATAACCATAGAAGATTGCAACCAAACTGGCGGATACACAGCATGTTTTCCAGGTGATACACCTCCGATTGGTCCTGTTTAGAAAGGCTTGCCATACACGGTTTTATACATTATGCTAATGCTTTTGCAGTGAATTCCGTTATGCGGCCAACAAATCAATGGAATGCTGAACTATCAATACTTGCGACAGGTAAGTGAACCGATCGATCGAGTCTGAGGATTTACCTGAGCGGAGGAATGTGAACGATTAATCACTTCCTGAACAAGTTAGCGTTGTGGGCGTGCCCAGTCGGTATCAAATTTACCGTACATTGTAACAGTCAGTTAAGTCCGGTGTCACGAAGGGAGTATGTAATTCTCAACCCTGCTTGAAATTACGGCTAATTAGGGTCTTGACTATTAAGTTCATTAAGGAACCTTTACAGGGGCAGTTTCATGGTGGGAGAGAGGTGAGTACACGTTTGTATTTACAGTGTGTCGTATGTCTCTTGGTCAATACAATGAATGTCTTTATTTATATATAAATGCCCGACAGAGAGAGAGAGAGAGAGAGGGGGGGAGATAGATAAGAGATGTGTGTGTGTGTGTGTGTGTGAGTGCGAGAGAGAGCGATTCACACGGTAATGTAACAAATGAATATTCCGTCGTAACTGCCGGAGAGCTGAAGGCGTATTCGCCTCACACTCAGTTTATGAGATTGTATCAAAATAAACGACAGCACTATCGCTGTGAGTTAAAAGATTCAACGCTTAGAAGTTACATTCATATAAAAGACGCCAACAGCATTGCTAAAGGGATCTGAGACTCAAAACATATCACTGTTCACAGGATTAGATATTGTTTTATCTGGGTATTAGCACCCAGTTTAACAGAATAACTTGACATAAATACTGCAAGTGGTATTAGTTAGTTTATTTAAGGGGTTGTATTCAAAATAAACTCTGTTTTTTAAGGGGCTGTTTTTTTTTTTCATTGGCAAGAATTGTTTTGATAAATATAATTTTATATCTGTGCTACACACCTTTTTTCCAAACCGTCTCACGTGCCGTCGTGTCATAACAGGAGTCAATATCCAGCTTTTTCTGTAACTCAGGGTGTCTGGACCCAACCTGCCCAGACTGAGACTGCCTCTGTGGTGACGTGCTTCAGACCGATTTCCGTTCCAATATAGCCCTCGTGTGAACGCGGCTTCAGTCACCTCAGATAAAATTTACATTGTTCTTGGTGGCTGCACGTCAACGGGTTGATAGCTGTCCTGCATAAGGACATAAAATAAGCGTTAAATCTTTGTATAGCAAATAAATTTCCCCTTGATTGCCAAGGCACACCCTATCCAAATCCATAGAGATTACAGTATGTACCCGTTTTCGAGTTTTCGAGCTACAATGTTTACCGTCTGTTCAAGTGCACCACTCTTTCTAAGCATATTTCGTCATTTATTTATGTTACAGGTCTTTCACGCGGACACCCGAAGTTATCTCGGACTTAATAATCACATTCCGGAAATGAGCAAAAGATGACCGGAGGCGGGTCATGTCCTGCAGCCACTAAAACGAGACCCTGCGGCGTCCACCTTGTAACTATGAATATACAGGTGAGATAGCATCGGTAGAAAGCTGACAGGAAAACAGCGATCGGGTGATAAAGGTGACAATATACACAGTCGCGTTGACGCGTGGAGCTGGAATCTATATTAAAAGCACACCTGACTGGCAGATCAAACTCCCACCCTGCTGGTGGTGACCACTGCCCAATGTCCGTCATACGCGTCCACTTAAAACAGGTACTCATTCAGGTGTGATTTGTGCGGGTTTCTGTGTCATACGTGACTCACTTGTTGAGACACTACAGAGAATTGAGAGCTCGCAGGATCAAATAGCAAGGTAACTAGAATTTGCTCTGTTTGGATGCTGTAATAAACAGCTTGATTTTAGTGACTCAACGTCAGGGAGTCGACAGCACAGCGAGTTAATTGATCTTCTGATCTCCAACGCACTCGTGCAGTTAACACTAGACTGGATTAGAGGTGCGTTTCTTTGGGGATAAAGGCTGTGAATTTGGAGGATTCGACATACAACTTCTATTGTATTGAAAAGGCATAGTAAGTCATATTTGAAGGATCCAGTAAAAACATCACAGGCATTCGATAAATGCTTATTTCACAGAATTATACGCCTTGACATAACTGTGACGACAGTTCCACAATTTATTATATTACGTGATTTGTGTTGCAATGAACGAAGTTTCTGTGGAGATTTATAATGGAAGGAGGTTTAAAACAATTGAAATTGTGTGGACGTGATAAAAGAAGAACTGGAGACTAAGCCTCTTTCCTAATTTGAGAGAAATGATATATATCATCTTAAGTGTTTTTATTAATCTGAACAAGCACAGTATTTCCTTATAATATTAGTCAGTCTTATCAACACGTGCCGCGTGTCTCTGCCACCATGTGGACAGGATCAAAAAAGATCAAAATTCTTCATAAATTTCACGCCAGCTGTGACAGCGACATTGCAGAGCCACACATCACCGACTGTGTGGTCAACCCAGAAAATGGCGAACTGGCCGTAGTTGACCAACGCAACAAAGTAGTCAAGCTGTACGCCCTAAAAACTGGACAGCACGTTGGGTCCTTCGGCCACGACGCGTATCCAAGATTAAAAGCACCATGGTCCATATCAGCCTTTGAGGACGGTCGTTACGCTGTATCTGACGTGCGTACTTCCAGCGTGAAAATATTCTCCCACGATGGACGTTTTGAGCGTAACATCAGCCATGGACGTCTTTCCCATCCCAGAGGCATCGCCGTCAGTTTACGTGGGTATTTCGCCATCACGGATTCCCCGCCTCTAGCCGAGAAACAGCGCGTGCATATCTTTGACAGAGACGGCGTTCTCCTACAGACAATTCCAGGCCCAGAAATACGTAACAGCACGTTCCAGAGGCCCCTTCACGTCGCCATAGACGAACGTCACAACACCGTCGCCGTTCTGGATGCGCTGGAATCGTGTGTAAAAGCGTACGACCTCAACGGGAGACCAATATTTCAATATGGCAGTTACGGAAGTGATGAGCAACAATTAGCCAGCCCCACTGGGATTTGTTCTGATAAAAGCGGGAACTTTTTTGTTGCCGATTTTGCAAATCATCGGGTCCATGTTGTGCGAGCTGGAATACACATTGACTATGCTGCGGGAAAGGCTGACGGGGTGAGATATCCCGCGGCGGTGACGACGTCACGTGATTATAATCTCGTGATTTGTGATCAAGGGGGCGTGGTTAGGGTGTTTGAAATGCGACGGTGACGTCGTAGTGCTATACAGTAGGCCTACAAAAATAAATTCCACGGATTCTGTATGGAAATTTACATTTTGATCTAGGTTTGTGGATAATACTTGTAGATTTGACAAACCTCTTTCTCTCTCATGTTGATAAATTCTGAGAATTTGTACCAGTACGCATTTCATACCGGACATAGAAGCAACGCTTAATTTCCGATTCCAATTTCAATTAACTGTAACTCATTGACGTTAAAGACCAAAGCATATGGAAATAACGCGTTTATGGTTATCATTTTGATTTTATCGTATTTTTATCAAACACACCAATCCAAAGGTATGTTAAAATTTTATCTTAGTATTCATGTGTGGTTGGTTAATGTTTCCTGTGAAGTCTTTGATATATGTCTATCTTCATCAGCATCATGTACAAATATTGTTACCACTGATCAATTTTACATGTCATTTTTACATCTTTATTCATTTGTGTAAATAATTGCAATTGCAAAACATTATAAACATGACAATTCTGTATAAACATCCATATGAAAATATACCTGAATAGGTTTTCTTTGAATATTTATAAAGCTAAATGCTAATATAAAGCTAAAAGTAAATGTTAATCACAAACATCATCAAAATGCGACAACAAAAAGGAAGCGCTTGGTTTAGAAGATATAACAGTTAGAGGGGAAATTGCGTTTATATCTGTGTTAAATGTACTTATTAAATTATTGAATTTCTCAACATACATAGGTTTTAGTTGCCTTTAAAAACACTTTTAGACAAAATAAAAATGTGATCCACTGGCATCTGTTAACATCGATGTCCATTGGTCAAATGATTTCCCTTGCTGAATGGTATCCTGTAGTAAAATAATAAAAACAAATCAACATGGTAGTTATGAAATGGGCAGTTAATACCGCAACACTCCTTCCCAATACGGTCCTCTTTACAACATGGCTACACATGCTAAATATTCTAAATAGCTACAAGTGTTATTTACAAAACGGTTCATTGCAGTATTTAATAAACAACGTATCTATGTGTTTTGAGAAGTGTAATGTTGGCTAAGCCACTTCTCCCACCCCTTTACTCAATATTTTAACCATGCCTGTCTTAAGCTCACGTACATGTATACTTAAATAAATGATCTACATATCTCGTACTAGGGTAAACCCAGACAACCGATGTCCAATTATAGTACTAAATGTCTGCCGTTATCCCCTCTCCCTGTCTATATTTTTCCCAATTCAACGTTTACCCCCCCCCCCCTCCACCAGTTGCTCTATATTCAATCAACAAGGCAATTGTGTTAGTTGAGATGCGCCCTTAGCCATAAGCTGTGCGTTCAATGATTTAATGCGTGGTGTCCCTATCGTCAAGAAGGTTCCATAACATACCTTCATTTTGGATCGTTTTCTGCAAAACAGTCAAAATTCCAATTCATCGCTACAAAAGATAAAAATAAGAAAAACTGTTTATTCATATAAAGTATGAATTCTCTGAGCTATCTTTACCAAAATAAAACTTTTGCCTGCAATCAGAACAGGAGTAACAGATACACGGATCAAATATGGCTGACCCACATAAAAGCAATGCTGACTAGTTCCCTGATGGTATCCCCGCCTCCACACGCGCCATCCCTGCAGGGGCCTGGCAAGTAAACCTCGGAGCCGAGATTTAATCCGTTTTAAGTCACGCGTGAAGGCGGGGTGATGGTCAGAGGATTAGGCGGCTTGCTTTTAAGTGGGGTCGGCCTCATTTAGTCCGCGGATCATCCGTTCTGAATGCGCCCTTTAGCTTCTTAAAAGCGATCATGAAATTTACGAGCTATAAAAAAATTATAAAACACGAAGAAACAAAATAAAAGTTACTAAATTTAAGAAACATATTGCGTCTTACTCTTCTACATCAATCAGCTTCATGATGTCCTGGTCTAACTTCCGAAGTGCGTGCGCACCTCGTTCGACATGTTGCACTTTTGTCGCCTCCTTTGCCGCCTCAGGCCGGTGCCACTCGAATGTCAACGGTTCTTCTTTCTCCTTCAATGGCTGAGCAAGAGGCGCAACTGGGGATCGACGCGGTGACTTGGGTTCTTTGGGCTTATGCTTTCCCTTCTCTTTGGGTTTCGAGTATTTTTCGTGCAACGGGACAACAAGCCTCTTCGTGTCAACTTGTTCGTCGACCTCGTTTGGTTCGGCACCCCCAATGGCCTCATCTGCCAAGTCCTGCACGGAAAATGATAGCAATTTTAGTACAAACAATTTGGTAATTTTACGTTATTACTTCTAAAGAAATTTATGGTTAATATAACTATATAAAACTATTAAAATATAATTGGACAGCTTTAGTTTCCAAGAATACTCAAGGATCGCTGAAGGTCGATCGCTGAAGGAAGATCGCTTGTTTTTCTCTGAACAGTGAAAAATTAGAAATAAGAAAGAGAAAACCGATATTATAAATAGGCCTACATTTTTATCACTCAGACAAATCTTATCGTTATCTATTATGATCTGATTAATTAAGTTGACAGGCCCTATAAAATCCGTTAAATATAAAGCCTTTTGCACTTTTTCCAATGAACAGCTTATTCAAGCTCGCAGACAAATGTGACGGAAAAAACCGCCTGGAATAGGACTGTACTTCACTTGAAATCAGTCTTATTTGTGAAATAAGTCTGAAGAAGATTCCGGGCGAAACAATTATGAAGTACAATTATGTATCTCAACCACGCTATGTTCTAGGACCCAGTCAAAAACTACATATTAGGCCTACATTTTGACGAAATACAGAAAAAAGTTGTTTCTTTTTTAAAATATATACCACAGCACCTCATAAGATGACGTCACTTCCTCTTTATTGTCAACGGGGATGCTCTGACCATTGGTCTTTCCGGATATGATCACGCTGTTGACCTGACGCTGTAAGTTACGCCAGTGCGCTCTGTTTTGGCGATTCGGAATGTCTATGGCATTTATCACCTGAAAATTAGACCTAGATATATCGCACCTTAACCAAATTGAAATGAAGATTTTACACACAGAACGCTGTATCTTTAAAATAATATGGTTCCATCTATAGCGTACTGCTTTGAGAGGACCAACAACACAACGGGGGCTTCACTCGCTTTCACAACCTTGTCGTGTTCTTAGACCCCATTTCCAGAGATTAGATCGATCTACTTTAGATCGACCTAACTCCCTGGGGGTTCACGCTAAATAGCTGTCAGCCGAGCGGACACGAAAGTTAATTACCCCCTTACAGCTTGTAGTAGGCGGGACGGACATTTAAGCCGGATTATCTGACAGTAATCTAGTGAGACTCCCCGCGGGGATAGATCGATCTAAAAGCTTTGGGAATACAGCCTTAGAGTGCAAAGAAATGCCAGGGCGTCAGTGAGTAGAAATTAGTTGTCGGGTGAGTCGAGCTCCGGGACGTCGTTTAGGCGATTCTTATACACAAAAGCCGTGCTCAGCTGCCATCTCAAAACAGATCGCTTAAAATGGAAGGGTAATGACAGAACGTTCCCTGCGAAAAGGCCTTTACTAATAAAATATAGTTTATTTTTGTTAGCATTGCAATTGGTCTTCAACGTGACCCTTAGGCAAAAGTAGTGGTTTTAAGCTTATACAAGATATAAAACAACGAAAATTATAAGTACCTTTTGTAAAGCCATTTTCATAACTTGCAGTCGAACTATTTCCTTTTCCATGATATCTGAGGCAATGTTCCCCATTTCCTGGGAAAATTTAAGACAGATAAGCATAAGAAGACAGTTTTGAAAATAATAGTTAAACATTTCACGTTCGCTCTTATTCAGAGGTTGGATAAAAGAGAGAGATGTATGATTCTGTGTACAGCCACATTAATATTACAAGGATATGTGATGTAGGGCGTCACGTATACGACCTGTGAACCTTTTCTCGCCACCCTGGGGTAATAAACCTCAATTTTCAATTCCATCACACCATTTTAGGTTGTCTCATACTCTTTAGAAATGTTCTGCATTAACGGCCGTTTCAAATTTAAATAGATAAACAGGCAATTGTAAGAAATGAAAAAAATCACTGAAATACTCACCTTCAAAAACTCCACCTGGAGCTCGTCGAGCGACTTCTGGCGGCTCTCGTATACACTAAATGCCACGTCCATCTTCGCCTCTCTGCCATGGAGTTGTTCTACGATGGCCTCCTCTTTGGCCGCGGGGTATGATCTTCGCAGTCTTAGTTTACGCAGAGCCTCGCGGCAGTCTTCACATTTTGCATTCATTTTTATAAATTCCTGTAAAAAAGGAAAATTGGTGCAAGATGGCGGTTGCTTGCAAGATGAGATTTAGATTGCGATTTATTTATTTATTTAGTTAGTTAGTTAGTTAGATATTTTGCCAGTTAGTTAGTTGGTCAGTTAGTTTTCTTCAATCAATATAAGGCGGCTTTTGTGAATGAGAATAACATATGTATTTTTTTAAAAGTTCGATTTAGATTTATTGTTTTCAAAGAGGCCACACTTACCGAAGATGCGCACGGCGGCGAGGGAAATTAATACCCCAAAGAAGATTCATTTTGATACATTGTTTTGAAGGATTCAAAATACGGAAGTTTACATCAGACATGAAGAGAATATGGTCGCAAAATGTTTTAATGCCGTGAATCCTCACCTCTCTCGCCTTAGTCACTTTTTTTATCATCTCTCTCTGCCTTCTGTTCAGTTGCTGTATCCGGGCCTTAAAATGGTTCTTGGTTTCTTTGGGATCTATGGCGGACAACGGGCGTCCATCACTCTGGTATGTGTCATTTTGAAAGCTTGAAGAACGACAAAATAACATTAACGAGTAGAAATAGGGAGCACTTTTGAAGTACTTTCATTAATTTTTAGAAACCTAAAATTGGTCATCCGCCCGTTACTAGAAGGTTACATTAAAACACAACATAACATGTAACGTATTATGCTAATAAACGTGAAATAGAGTGAATGTGGTCAGAGTCTAAACATAGTTGGGATTCTCTTTGATTTATTTCAAGCCTGCATGGAACTTTCCATAGACGAAAATGTCATATTACTGATTCAACAAGTAGTTATGCATACTAGGCTTATTATTACCTTTGACGATAGACGATAGACCTTTGACGCAATCACTTGCATATATTTTTTCCTGAATAACTCACTTGTTCATAAAAGAAGCGCTGTGGCGCGCGCGCGCGCACACACAAACACCGACACACACGCGCGCTCAATCGCACGAATGCACTCATGCAAACACGCATGCAGACACAGATAAAAACGCATGCACACACACACACACACAAACACGTGAGAACACGCACACACACGCACACATGCAAACACACTTGTAAGCACACACAAACATTTAATCACCTATTCAAAAGGGACAGCGGAGACTTGTCCACCTCAGTGATCATCATGTAGGACCTGTAGTGGGCGTCCGACTGCTCTCTGGCCAAGTTGACCATCATGTCCACCGCGCGCTGATAGTCCTGGTCTGATTGGGACCCTGATTAAGATTTTAAAAAGGAAAATCTGTTCCAGACTAATCAGAAGTAATTGTAATCTCGGTATAGACTTGGTTAAATTCAGGGAAATATTGGTTTTCTTTTCAACTAATAGATGTACTAGACTGATACTTATTAATTGAGTTTCGACTTTCCAAAGATCGGGTTTCTGACTGAGCCGTAACTGTATTACGCCTATCATTTTTTGCTTTTTTTAAAATTATTTTAATTCTGAATTTTTTTATTGATATTTGATGTATTTAAAATATTTTCTTATTTAAATATTGATCCAAACCGTTTGTCAGTGGCACTCTGTGTAGTTCATAATAGGTGTTTTCAGCCCATCTCTGATACGTCTCCGAAACTGTCTTCTCTAGATACGCGCGGCTGCTCATTATTTTTGAGAACACCTTCAAAAACCTATGAAAAGTAATTGAATGACAACATGAATTCAAATGAATAAATTTATGTCAATAAATCACTTGCACTGTAATCTTAAGACTTATTTGTTATCCCCATTATTTATTATTCATCATCTTCAATGGAAAACTTTAATCGATAATAAAGGTCACGAGTTTATAATGCATTAAATACTTATGTCGCATAACTGATCTTAAACAAATGCAGCATTTCTGTCAAAGTTGCACTTAGGACAAATAAAAAAAGTTCGGCCATGCTGGTAGTCTCGGCTCTGAAAAGTTAACTTTTCCCCTCTATTCAAAATTTATATATAATATAATAAAAATATGCTCACTGTTGTCCTGTCTCAAATTGACCAAACACTTCCCCCGGATTTGGCGCAGCTTCATTTTGCGCCATGTCAGCAGTCGTTGGTCGGTTAGCATAACTTTTGAAGCAGCACCAAGTGTCGGACAGGGAGATCCATGCTTCAGGATGATGTTAAGCAGCGAAGACCCCGCGTGACTTGACACTATTATGACGTCACTCAATTACGCCATAATCGAAAGGAACTTTCAACGTCAAGACGTCGCTTCGTTATTGCGTCACAAGGGTATGACTTAGACAAATAAACAAAAAACACGCATGTTTTCTTGCATTGAATGAAATCCTTTTGATTGATTGAAAGGTAGAATATTCTAAATGGTATAAAACGACAAGTTTATCATCTTATTTTTCCACTGGCCTATAGTAAGACCTATGATATACATCGACACAGGGCTAGTCATTTCTAGTGACGTCTTCTTGGTATTATGTCTCATTGTACATATTCATACGCCTTGATGAATCAACCGGAACGTCATCAGTTATAATAATCACAAGTCCAGTATAAGATTTAATTAAACAAAATTATTCAGAAATGCCTTTAAAACTACCTCCGTTTACACGATTGACCTAAAGTACGTCTAATTATAACTTAAATTACATAAAACCTTTTTACAACTTTATAAGGGAACTTTTTGCAATGATAAACAAGCATACTGCTTTCATTTTATTTCTTGGAAATGACATTCTCTACTTATTTATAGATGGTTGCGCATTAAACCACTGCGCACGGCACTAAAACGCGTCCTTTTATTTTGCTCGTCTGAGCGTAAACGTCCCTTTGACAACAATATGTAAACAACTTTACTATTCAATACCCAGGTCAATTTTACACGCTCTGATCGATTGTACAAAAGCAAAATGGCGTCAAACGGGACGATTAACTGATACAGGTACTGCGCCAAGCGATGAAATGACGGCATATTAAGAGGGATAACTTTTCCGCAAGCATGGTTTCTTCACGGAACAAACATCTCTCAATTCTCACGTTACTTCTGGTGCTGTTGCTACCATGCAGTGGTAAGTTTGGAGGGTGAATTTTGCTTGGTAAAAGATGTCCTAATTAAAAGGGCACCAGGTAAAGTAGAGCTTGGGCCAGGATTGCGAAATCAGCATCTCACTGATCGCATTAAAATGCCTACTGGTGGTTAAGACCGTCATGTCATCACTTAAATTTACGGATATTATGTTCAAGAAGATGAAAATTGTGTACTTAACCGCAATATTTACTAAAATTTAGAAGAGAGAGAGAGAGGTGAGAGATTTTAACTTGTTACAACTTGCAGACAATATAATAGGTATATGTTAAACAGAGATTGGTTCAAACACAATGAAGAAATTAACTGTTTAGAAGAGATTTTTCTTAAAAGAAATACACATTTTTAAATAAATTTCCATCTTAGATATTAACCTCTCTTGAAACATTCACCCTTAAATTTCTAAATAAGCATTTTATTCAAGTAAAAACAAAAGCTCAGTCTCTACACACCCCTCTTCCTTTTGTCATGCATGGCCAAGAAAGCCATGGGTAACGCCTCGGCTGCATGCCGCTTGAGAACATCTGGTGCATGATGGGTAATAGCCTGGAGAGTGAGGCCGCAGGACGACTTGGTGCTCTCATCTGATATATAGTATAACCATAGTTAACAACGTGTGGATCAGTTTTATACTGCTTTCATATATTCTAATATTGGATTTTTACTACTTTCATATATTTATGATTCTAATACGATAAGATATAAATGAGCTCTTTGATGTTTCTACAGAAATCAAAGCATTTGAAAAGAGAACCCTACACATTAGCCTATAAATTATAATGCTAAAACCACAGGTCTTACCTTCTTTGTCCATGTACCATGTTTTCAATTTCTGAATAAGTTTCTCCACACTACTGTCTTTGGAAACCTAAAACAGTGTTAATTTCAGTAATTATTGATTCCTCATTACGTGCAAATGAGAAAATTTCAAACCTGTTGATAATTAAATATCAAAATGTAAAAGTTAACATCTTGGTAAATTCTTCTTATTTATTTAAGTATCATTTCTGAGGCATAACCACATATTATATAAGAAATTCATGGAAAAGCTGGCAAATATCCATCAATTAGATTCCCCTCTTACCTTTACCAGATAACCTAGTGCAGTGGCATAAACCTTCCTTATAGTAGCACTTTTATCATGGAGACCATTCAACAATGAACTCATCAATTTTCCTAGAAAAAACAAAACATGTAAACAAACCATACAACATTTATGACAATCTTGGAAAAAGGTGGCTAGAATATAATTGTCTTGATAAAGAAATCTCACTGTTTATCATGATTTTGATCCTCTTACCTGCATACTGTTTCAGATCTTGAGGACACTGGTAAGTCAGGGAGATCACAATGTTATTTGATCATCTTACCTGCATACTGTTTCAGATCTTGAGGACACTGGTAAGTCAAGGAGATCACAATGTTAGCACAGCCAGCCTGGGAGGAAATTAAGTTTATGACATATTTTGATTGGTGCAATATTGAATAAATTTAGTACAAACTAAAGATAAATACTGGATATATAGAACTACAAAACTCACCAAGCTATTCTTAGTGCTACAGCCTTTTTTATTTTCTTGAAATTTCACCTTGTTTATTTGAACCTTAAAAACAAATTTAGTACACATCTGTACCAAACCATTAAATTGCAATCAATAATAATTGGTACACAATAGATTTATTTACACTCAGAGTCAGGTTTATAGCATACCATACTAAAATACATAACTTGTAGAAGAGCACAAATTCACATTTAGCATAAATGGTGTAATTCATTTCGATAATACTAAAACATGGTATGAGACTGGTAGATTTAAATGGGACACATCCTAATACAAAGTACACTACGTGTAGCCAAATATCAGGGGCAGATGGAGGCTGTCTTCTGGGTCATCACAGAGATGGACAGAATTTTAAAGTTTACATTAACAGGCATCTAACATTTTCTGTCGGAAGACGGTCAAAAATGGAGGATGGATCAACAAAGATAATTTGGAGGACTGTCAGAAAATATCTCTGGGTCTGCCCCTGAAATATGTTACCTTTGTCCCCAATCCTACACCACTCCTGATCAGATCTGTTAGTTTAGGTACCAGTTCTGGGAGTACACTGTCATCTACATACTGTATACACTGAAATATGTTACCTTTGTCCCCAATCCTACACCACTCCTGATCAGATCTGTTAGTTTAGGCACCAGTTCTGGGAGTACACTGCCATCTACATACTGTATACACTGAAATATGTTACCTTTGTCCCCAATCCTACACCACTCCTGATCAGATCTGTTAGTTTAGGTACCAGTTCTGGGAGTACACTGCCATCTACATACTGTATACACTGAAATACACAACGTTGTATATGTTAACATTCACTAAGGTTAGCAATATAATAATAATAATAATAATAATTTATTCTGAGAATGCAAATAAAATATACATCAATATATTGGTTTCTGTCGTATCTCTTCAGTGAAAAATAAAATAAATTAACTGTGAAATTAATAAAAGTGATCATTCAATTAACAAGTCTAAAATAGAAGATACAATCAAATTAAAATTGAGAATTAAAACAAGAAACAGCTGAGGGGTAAAAGCTTTTTAAAAATCTCTCACTGCATTACAAAATTTGTTGATTATATGTGAAATAAATCTACGATCTGGATAAGGATTTCAATTTTTTTGTGTGTGCGCATGCCTGCATGTGTGTGTAATGATAAAAGAGCTTTACGCTAAAATAAAACCAGTTAACAGCCTTCTCTATGTAAACATACCATATTGACTGTTTCCATCATGGGGGAGGACTTTGAGGCTGCTATTCTTGCACTGTCAAGCTGAAAACACAGGCCAAAATCTCAACTGCTTGTAAGGAGGATCATATTTGTTGAGATATTCTCATAAAAATACTCTAGCAGAATTTTTGAATGGTACATAATTAAACTGACAGATTTAGATGAAAACTGACATAATAATGCATTACTTCATCAAAAACTTCACTTTGAGCAATACATTTTGCTAGTTTCCTTATTACCTTCTCCTGGGCCATCTGGTTGGCTCCTATCCTCAGACTGAGGTAGTTAAATATTAGCTTCCTTACCTTCTCCTGGGCCATCTGGTTGGCTCCTATCCTCAGACTGAGGTAGTTAAGTATTAGCTTCCTTACCTTCTCCTGGGCCATCTGGTTGGCTCCTATCCTCAGACTGAGGTAGTTAAGTATTAGCTTCCTTACCTTCTCCTGGGCCATCTGGTTGGCTCCTATCCTCAGGCTGAGATAATTGAGAACCTGTGGCTCCAGCCCACTGACAGACTCCAGGAGGTTGTACACTAGCAGAGGAATGTGAGGCTTCAGCAGGGCACCTGCATTCTTACTGATCTTCACTATGGTAGAGATACTGGAAATGTATATATATATATATATATATATATATATATATATATATATATATATATATATATATATATATATATATATATATATATATATATGAAATGTAATAAAGGTAAGGGGAATGATATCATAGCATCAATTATAATATTAAGCATGTATCCCCCCCCGGTTAACCTGATATATATATATCTCCCCCTCACTTTCTTCCTTTCCCAACCCCCTCTCCCCACTGCCCTGACGTCCTGGGCCCCGTATCTCGAAAGCATCTCATATTGCGAATAGCAATATCACATAGAGGCTACAATGTATTATCTGGGGCGAGTATGGGTGAGTTATGGAATCGAGACGCTTGTGCACGGTCGCAATGCGCGATGCTTTCGAGATACGGGGCCCTGGACTTGGCTCCCCAGCCCATGTTGTAGATTTACTTGATATCTCTCCACTCACCCCACTGCCCTGACATCCTGTACTTGGCTCCCCAGTCCATGTTGTAGATTAACCTGATATCTCCCCCACTCACCCCACTGCCCTGACGTCCTGTACATGGCTCCCCAGTCCATGTTGTAGATTAACCTGATATCCCTCCCACTCACCCCACTGCCCTGACGTCCTGGACTTGGCTCCCCAGTCCATGTTGTAGTAGACAAGGCAGCACCAGACTGATGGCCTTCTCTCCTATCTTCCCTTGGGATACGTCACAGATCTTGATAGAAGCCTGGAATAGAGTACAGGAGAGTTTGAAATTTTAACAGACTCAGTGTATTCATCATATGGAACATAATACGTTTTTCAAATTGTAAATTAGATAAATATAATCTATATATTCATCCGGAAGAACTAAATTGACAGATGCAGATTCCATAGTAGACATGTTCAGCATTTCTTACCTTGCTTAAGGTTCTGCATGCAATGGCAGCTGCATTTCGTACAGATTCCTAAAATGCAATAATAGTTCTATATAGAGTTTTTACAATTTCTCCAGATGATATAACCTTTACCTTCACAGGAATACATCCTTTACTGTGCTTGATTTAATGACAGAAAAAATCACCCAATTTGAATCTTACCATGAATTTGCTCATAAAGAGCATTTATCATCTGTTGTACTATTATTACACCAAAGAAGAGCAAACTTTGCAAATATTGTTAAGATATTCACCTTAATATCATCCAGCACTCTGAGGCAGTTCTCCCACAATACAGGAAGTTTGTCCACCATGTCGTCTATTTGTCTACCCCTGAACAGGTCATTAAGGGCCATACAACTGGACTCACGCACTCTCCACTGGGCACTGGTCAAGTTCTTGATTAGGTCCTCAAGGATATCTTGGACATACATATCAACCTGTATTCAAAAAGATGACTTGATAACATTTCATGTTCAACCCTGAACATCAGAGCAAAAAGTCTGTAAGCACTTTATCACTTTATCGTTCTAGTTGAATCATTCCATTTAAATTCAGACAACAGACTTACTTGTCAATTACATGAATTACTCTTACTGGTTTAATGAACTTTTCTACTGAAATCAAACTCTCATACCAAACCACACATGCCACAATGACAATGTAAGCAATATAAACTCACCGTTTTCTTGTTATCAGACACCAAAGACTGCCATATACTGGTCATTGCCAGCTGGATCTTAGGGTTGGGATCAAATTGATATCTGTACAACTTGGGGACAATCTTTGGCAGGTATGGCGCCAGCTGTTCTCCAGCTTGAGAAAATATACTGGTGAACCCAAAAGCTGCACCCTGGAAGGTAGAAATATATACACTGTTTGAATAACTCCATTTATGTCTCCATCACAGTGGTAATCTTTTCCATTTATATTGATGTTTTGATTAAAAATCACTTATAAAGATGTAATTATCCAAGCAAACAGAACTCTACAGTGGTTAATGTATTTGATAATAACAATCACCTGATATCCAAAAATGTTCAAATCTTTAAATAGTATTCATAATATGAGCTAATGGCAGACAGGTGCTCTCACCTTCTTAGAGTTCCACATGGCATTGTGATTAGCCAGGTGTAAGAACTTATAGATCAGGTCTGGCTGGTTAAGATCATTGGCAATAGAGCAGAGCTCCCTGTAGGTGGATAGACTCTGCCCATCTGGTGTCTTCCCCAGGGCTCCCTCCTCAAACACCTGGGTATCACTGGTCACCTGCTGCTGGGGCCTAGGTTGATGTGGAGACCAGAGATTATGTCATCATGGAGACCAGGCAATATGTCACCATGGGGACCAGATATTATGCCACATCAAAGGGGACAATATCTCTTTATTATAAATCTAATGCATAAAGGGTAATCACATCTAGCAATAAGATTTAGTGTATTTTAATACAATTAATTAAAATTGACTTAAAACTGCTAAACCACTGACTGACTGAAAGATTTGTATTTCAGATTAAAAAACATTAACCTTATAAAACTGAATGTCTACACCCACGTCTCTTTGTGCAGCACCTGTGGTGATATAGCATGTAAAAAACACACATGATGATCTAGGCTCATCCTAGCATAGAAATGTTTTGCCAATTACCAAAATTATTCTTCTCTGGCTTTAGTTATGTAACCTCCCTGGTGGCTTACCTCTTTCCTGTCATGAGTGTCTGCACCAAGTCTGCCACTAGTTCATCTTTCCTCTCTTTGCTGGAGTTCTCATAGACTATACTGAGACCCTTGGAGGCGATGTCCTGGGTGATTTCTAGGCACAAGAAAAAATAATTTAATCCCACTGAGAGTAATATTTGATATTATCAAAGTGATAATATCTTCAATGGCTTTACCTACAAGCTGTATTAAACATTAAAATCTATTTTTTATGTTTTTAAGATTGTGTAAAATTGACATCTTGACACTTACAGAAAATGTCAAAGATTTTAAGATTTCATCTTTCTCTTAAATCCCATTCTGCAGTGTTTTCACCATCTTACCATTGTTTTCTGCTAGTAAGCTCATAAATGCTCCCTGTATAGTCTTCATATTCTCCTGTATCACCTTGTGACCACTGCAGCTCTTCACCAGGGATAGCAGCCACACACAGGCAGCCTGCAACACAGCACACACCAATATCCATGACATTGGGGAATATCTAAGACCTCATTCAGAATAGGGGACTAACTCGTCTGAGGCCGACCCACCTGAATACTTACCCGCGGGATATCTTTTCAGTGTCTGTTAGTGGATTAGACGGCAAGCTTTGTAGTGGGTCGCCATATTTGACCCTTCGACTAGTTAGTCCCCAATTCTGAATGGGTTCTGTTAGTGGATTAGACGGCAAGCTTTGTAGTGGGTCGCCATATTTGACCCTTCGACTTGTTAGTCCCCAATTCTGAATGGGGTCTAAGTACTTTTCACATCACCAATTGCATTTTAAAACTTGATAAAATATAGCAAAAATTAACACTTCCGTGAGTGCCATAGTCAGCATTAATGGGGAAAAAGTCTTTCCTCAGATTACCTGTCTAATATGTGGGTTATCACTTCTTACATATTTGGTATGGAGTTCTGACAACAGCCACTCAACTTCATCCTTTCCTGCGTCTGTTAAAGGCTACAAAATATTTCCAACAAAACATACACGGATCTTATTTAGTGGAGATATCTCATTTGCAAGACTTGAGTGTTTCAAAAAATAATAATATAGTTCTAATTTCTCTCAATTACCAGAACCAACGCACACACTTCAATATAATAAAAAGTGCTACAAGAAAAAGATACGTTTTGTATGATTCAATTCCACAATAGAATTCATTATTACAATCCTGTATATCTGCTGTATATCACCTTGAAGTTGTCTTCCTGTACAGTCCATGGATCCCTGGCTACTGGGGAGTGACTACCTAGAGCTGCACACACCAAGGCTTCACCCACAGTCAGGTGTAACTCTATCTGCTTAGGCTGAAATAGACCACAATGGTACTGTTAACACAACTGAACTGAAATATTGCACAATTTTACTAATAAGAACTAAGATATATAAACATACACAGCCAAGTACAGCATCTTAACACCCACATGCAATGTGTTAACACCTCAGCCTTCAGTTCATCAAAATTACTTTGCACAGAATTATATTGTACTAGTATAAGAACACAACATTTGTTTACCAATGTTTTCACATCTGCATCTCAGCCTAAATTTAATCAAAATTGCAAAATACAGAGTACAATTTCTACGGTTAAAGAGCAGAACATTTGTAAACCCAGGAGCAGTACTAGAGAATATGTCTTCATTTACCTGAGCACAGTCCAGCATCCCCTTCATCACTCTCTGTGTGTGTGGAAACATTGCCTCTCCCACACACAAGGTGCCCAGGCACCAGGCTGCCTTCTCTCTTACCTAAATATATAACAATATTCTGTATCATTATCATACACAAGGTGCCCAGGCACCAGGCTGCCTTCTCTCTTACCTAAATATATAACAATATTCTGTATCATTATCA